CAAATAGACTAAAATTTACAAAAACAGTAAAATGATAAAACTAAAGGCTCTTTATTTGAATGCACATGATATTTATTGAACTCAATGAATGGAAATGAATAAGTACAATCTGGTAGCCATTGTAGAGACATGGCTGCAGGGTGACATAGGTTTGGACCTGAATCTTGAAAGGTTGAGAATAGTTAGGAATGACAGGAAGTTTAGAAAAGACAAGCAACTAGGAAAAAGATGGAGGTGGTTTTGTTAGTTATTGACAGCATGAGCACAACAGAGCAGGAGAACCTAAGTACAGGAAAGCAATTGTGGAAACGTTGGGTAGAAATGAAAAATGATAAAAGCAGGAAATCACTTGTGGGTGTTACATACAGAACCACTAACAGTAAACACCCAGCAGGGTGAGCAAAAAGGAAGAAATAATAGGAGCTCATCAGAAATAATCATGGGAAGATTTTAATCTACACATCAATTGGAAATATCATATGGGCAAAGGTTGCAGAGATGCAGATTCAGAGAACATTCCTGGGTTATATTCTTTGAAAAGCATGTTCTTGAGTTGACCAGACAGCAGGCTATTCCAGACTCAGTATTGTACAATGAGATACAATAATTAACAACCTCACAGTGAAGACACACTATTTAGCAGCAACCATAATATTATTGAATTTGAGAAAATGTAAAATTGTTCATTTTGAAAGGAATAATAAAGATCAAGCATGTTAACTAAATGATCAGAGATTGCAGCATTCTAAGATGCAAAGGAATTCTGGGTGTCCTTGTATGTGAATCACAAAACATTAATATGCAGTTACAGCAAATAATTAGGAATACTGATAGAATTTTAGTCACTTATGACATGTGGGAAACACTGGTTGGCCAGCATTTATTGCTCGCCCCTAGTGGCCCTTGAGAAGGTGATAATGAGCTGCCTTCTGGAACTATTGAAGTCCATGTGCTATAGGTTTACAACTGTACTGTTACGGGGGGACTGCCAGGATCTTGACCCAGTGACAGTGAAGGAACAGCGATATATTTCCAAGTCAGGATGGGGAGTGGCTTGTAGGGGGACCTTGCGAGTGGTGGTGTTCCCATGTATGTGCTATCCTTGTCCTTCTAGATGGTAGTAGTCGTAGGTTTGCAAGGTGCAGGATTAGGAGCTGTGGTGAATTTCTGTCTTGCATCTTGTAGATGGTACACATTGCAGTTACTGAGTGTTGGAGGTGGAAGGAGTGAATGTTTGTGGATGTGGTGCCTGGATGGTGCCAAGCTTTGTAAGTGTTAGCAGAACTGCACTTATCGAGTCAAGTGGGGAGTATTCCATCACACTCCTGATGGCCCCTTGTAAATGATGGACAGACTTTGAGGAGTCAGCAGTTGAGCTACATGCTGCAGGATTCCTAGCCACTGACCAGCTTTTATAGCCATAGTATTTATATGGTATGTCCAGTTCAGTTTCTGGTCAATGGTAACCCCCAGGGTGTTGTTAGTGAGGGATTCAATGATGCCTATAACACTGAACATCAATGAGTGGTGGTTAGATTTCCATGTCAATAATTATCATGAGCAGAATTGAATACAAAATTAGGAAGGTTATGCCTCAGTTATAAAGGGCACTGGTGTAACCCATCTGGAGTACTACACACAGTAGGAAGGAAGCAAATGCACTGGAGGCAGATCAGACAACGTTTACCAGAAAATGCTTGAAATCAGAGGGTTGTCTTAAGAGGAAAAGTTGGATGGGTCAGACTTGTAACTACCGGAGTTTAGAAGGGTAGGAGGTGACTTGATTGAAACATACAAGATCATGAGAGGTCCTGATGTCAAGAGGATGATTCCTCTTATAGGAGAATCCAGAACCATGGGTCACTGTTTAAAATTCAGGAATCAACCATTTAAAACAGAGATCAGGCTTAATTCTTTTCTCTCATAGTATTGAGAGTCTTTTGGAACTCTCTTCCTGAAAAGGTGGGTGATCCTTGAATATTTTTAAGGTAGACGTAGATAGATTCTTGCCAAGCAAAGGAGTGAAAGATTTTCAGGGGCTAGGTAGGATTGTGAATTTGAGGTTTCAATAAGATTAGTTTACAAAAAGGCAGTGCAGGCTCAAGAGCCTGAATGGCCTACTTCTAATTCATATGTTTGTATTTGACAGTGAGAGTGAAGAGTCTCATTATAAACTGTGATAGCAACTGCAAACAGTGTCAGGGTGAACTACAGCAGACTGAAGAGCTTCTACTTGCTTTGTAGGTATCAATATGAGGAGTGTCAGCATCAACTGTAGGTCAGAGAACTATCACTGTGAAATGACAGTGAGTGAGGAGTGTCAGAGTGAACTGTAGGAGTGAGTCTGAAAATGGTCAGTGTGAACTGTGAGTGTAAAAAGTGTCAGTATAAACTATGACAGTGAAGAGTCAATGTGAAATGTGAGTGTGAACTATGAACATGAGTTTGAGTGTGAAGATTGTCAGTGTGAACTCAGTGAGAATGTGAAGGTTGTCAGAGAGAACTGAGTGTGAGTGTGAAGATTGTTGGTGTGAAATGTGTGTGTGACATTATCAGTGTGAACCATGGGAATGAAGTTTGTCTGTGTGAGATGGGTCAGTGTGAACTGTTGAACGTGAGTGTGAAGATTTTCAGTGTGAACTGTGAGCATGAGATTGTTGGTGTGAACTGTGAGTGTGAGTGTGAAGATTGTCAGTGTCAAATCTGAGAGCTGCCAAGTTTCAGCATCTCCGTGAATCTGAGGGGAGGAGAAGAATGCCAGCAGGAGCTGGAAAGACAAGACAAACAAGAACTGAGCATTGCGGATGGGCGGGTAGGGGAGAACATAAGTGCCTCTTTGAACTGGGAGGAGAGGAGGGAAGAATGTTTTCTTATCCACTGTGACAACCACATAACCAAGTTTAAAACCATATAACAATCAGATGGAACAGCAGAGAATTCCAGTACATTTCTACAACATTCCCGAAAGGATTGGAAGAAAATTTCATTTTTTTTGCCAGAATTCATAGTGAAAGAACATTAGCTGTACCCACAGCCTGAGGTAGCACAATTCTGTGCCTCAATGCACTTTCAAAGTAGCTGCAAATTGAGGCTTTTCTGTGCTGGCTTTCTTTTGAAGCTATTGGTAGTATTTGCAGATTGTTTGCATGCAAACATCATTTATACCTAGCATAAAAGGGGGAAATTGGGCCCTTGCTGTTTGAGCTGTCCATTATGAATATTGCATTGTTAATGTGTAAGGCAATGCTTTTACCCTGGTACTGAATGTTTGTTCTTGATTAAAACCCTACTAACCAAAACGTACTGAGCTGAATCAGCAGCACTGAATTAATAAGGTAAAGACTTATTGACATTACTGTCTACTTTTGATAGATGATAAAGCAAAGGCTTATGGAAACCTGCACTGGAAAACTACATTAGCTTGTACCTTTTATCTCAATTTTCAAAAACAATCTGTGAATCTAAAGGTTCGAACTATTCCTACACAATTAAAACCTCAATGAGGAAAGTGCTCACACATCTGAAAAGATATCCTCGGACACAGTGACTCCTCTGAGGCACATTCTTCAGTCCTCACACTTACAAAGTGCCAAACACAGCCACACCAAAACTTGAATTACTGCTTTACTCTAAAGCTTGCCAGTCAAATTGGCTTATCATTTTCCTTTATAATCAGTTAGAAATAATAGGAAAGACTGATAGGATCACCCAGCATAAATTCACAGGGTCAGGCAAGATACCCTGATCGAATTGTCATTAAGGGCAAATCTTGTATCTGTGTCTACCAAAAGGACAAAAATTAATGCCAGTGTACCAGACATTTTCCCCACCTTCCCAGAAGGAATAAATAGCTGTTCCATTGAAACTAAGCTAAAAATATTTCATTGATCATAGATTCCCTATAGTGTGGTACCAGGTCATTCAGCCCAAGTCCACACCAACTCTCCAAAGGGTATCCAATCCAGACTCACCCTTCCCAACTAATCGCTATAACCCTGTATTTCCCATGGCTAATCCATTTAACCTACACATCCCTGGACGCTATGGGCAATTTAGCACGGCCAATCCAACTAACCTGCACATATTTGGACTGTGGGAGGAAACCGGAGCACCTGGATGGAAACCCATGCAGACACAGGGAGAATGTGCAAATTCCACACAGACAGTCACCCAAGGGTGGAATTGAACCTGTGCCCCTGGCACTATGAGGCAGCAGTGCTAATGACTGAGCCACTGTGCCACCCCGCCACCCCATCTGATGATCATTTAAATGAAGTTATTAGGAGCATTTTCCAACTGTTGAAAAATTGGGTGCAAAGCATTAGCTGGACTAGTCAGATCGAAAACGCTAGTGCCGGTGTTAAATCAGCATTAAGGGGTTTGAAGCTGCAAGTAGAGGGAGGGAAGGAGATGACTGCAAGGTGCATTAGGAGGCTGCAAAGGAGAGAGAACTATTTCAAATCCATCTACAAAAGAAAATTCAACTGGAAATCACTGAGGTAATGGATTCCTTGCAAAATGTGTACCTCTAGTTTAAGACTGCATAATTTCCATAGCTACTATATCGGGAGAAAGTAGTGAATGTTATGTTAACAAACAACTGGCAATTTTTAAATTTCGAACTGAGATTGAGTTCTGAGATACAGTGAAAAGGGTAGTAACTGTGTCATTAAATATTCCAGCTATGTGCATATGTGATGGAAGTGCATTAAGTATGACCTCACTATTCTGCAGAAGGCATACTTACGGTTTGTGTATGAGTGTCTACCAGTTATTCTTAAGGAAAACTTATGCCTGATGTCTTGGGCCAACTTAAATACAGCAAACCTTTTATTAACTGGCACCTGTGGGAGCAGGAGTGTACCTGATCAAGAATTCCACATAACCAATATAAAAACACATACTAAATAATAGAAATGTATTGCAGGGGCAAACATATCAATGTTATATTTTATTTACAGTATAAATCACTTAAATAATAATGCAACTTTGCCTTACAGAAAATTTACCTGCAGACCGTCTTCAGACACGCACCTCAAATCGAACATTGTGGAGATCACAATACACGAAACCTTCAGTATTTCAGGTACATAATTTTTGCCCATTTATCAAGAGTGCCGGTTCCTAAGGTGCCAGTTAAAACAATGTTTGCTGTTTTGTGGTATTGAGTAAATCAATGCTTTCTTTTTGCATTTGGCTTCAAGTTTACTGGAGAGCTGATAATTGAGGATATTGATGAATTCTTGTAACTCAGCTTCTTTGCAAGTCCAAAAGCCACACTATTAACAAAATTGTAGGAGGTATTTTTACAACATGACTGCATTACTTAATGAATGTATTAAAGAATGAGAAAGTGAATCAAAAAGTAGCCCTCAAGAAAATTTTAGGAAAAGCCCTAAAAATATTTGATATAGGGCCAGATTCAAGTAAGTGGAGCTATTTACGTAATATGAACAACCACATTGTGTGCAATTGTCCAAAAATGGAATGGTTGTAAACTGTATCACATTGAAACCTGGATTTTTGTTGGTCTTTACAAATAGGGACATAGAGTACAAAAGCAAAGAAGTTTTGCTAACATGTATAAAACAGTTTGACCCCGTTGCATCTGTGCTTCCAATTCTGGGCACCAGAAGGATATAAACCCCTTGCAAAGACTTCAGAAAAAAAAAGAACTGCTCCAGGGATGAAGGATTACAGAGAATCTGGGAGATTCTCCTCGAAGCTAAGAAGCAGACAGGATTTGATAGAAATGTATGAAGTTATGAACCGTTTAGATCTAATAAACAGAAATTGCTCACATTGTCTAAAGGATCAATAATCAGATGGACCAGGTTTAACTTTATGAGATGATGGCAAAAGGACAAGGGGTAATACAAAGAAATATATGATACAAAGAGTGGTTATGACTTGGAATGCATTCCCTCCCTGATATTGTAATGGATATAGATTCCAATTCAAGTATAAATTAGGGATCGTGTGGAGGGTGGAAATTTCTCTTGGGAAGAACTGACATAGTCTCAATGGGCTGGATGACTTCCTTCCATTCTGCACAATTCTATTCTATAGGATTCAAGCGCATTGAAAAAGTGCTCAACAGAGGATGCCGAGTGTTAAAATGTAGATCAGGATAAGTAGCATAGATACAAGAGAAGCCTTAGGGTCCGTGATTTCTCTCCCTGGTTATGCTTTCAAAACCTCAGGGTGTCCCAAAGTGCATAACAACAAATGAATTACTTTCTTTAAAATAAAAGTAGTTATTGTTGTAATACAGCAAATGCCAGTTTACACACAGCAAGCACCCATAAACAGAAACGTGACAATGAGAGTTGTGAACACAGCCCAGTCCATCACTCAAACCAGCTTTGCATCCATTGACTCCATCTATACTTCCCGCTGCCTCAGGAAAGCAACCAATATAATCAAAGACCCCTCTCACCAGGTTTATAGTCTCTTCCAACCTCTTCCATTGGGCAGGAGGTACAACAGTTTGAAAACACACAGCAACAGATTCAAGAACAACTTCAGACTTTTGAACGGACCTCTCATTTATTAAAGTTAATTTTTCTCTGCACCTCCTCAGTAGCTGTAATACTGTATTCTGCATTCTGTCTATTACCCTGATGTACTGTAAGGTATGATTTGCCTGGACAGCACACAAAACAGTACTTTTCACTGCATCTCAGTGCATTTGACAATAATAAATCAAATCAAAATCATCTGTTTTTTGTGATGTCAACTGAGGGCTAAATATCGACACGGCATCAAGGATAACTCCCCTGTTCTTATGGTTTAAATAATGCCATGGAATCTTCGAGATCCATTCAGAAAGGCAGCTGAGACCTCAGTTTAACATCTCAACCCAAAGATGGCACCTCTGACAGTGTAGCTTTCCCTCACTGTTGCACTGGAAAAATCAACCAAAAGATTGTGTTCGGGAATCTGGAATGGGGCTTGAACCCACAACCTTCTGTTTCTGAGGTAGGAGTGGTACTATCTGAACCAAGTAACAAAACAAACTTTTTTTTAAACAATCAAAGTCTGTCCATAATCTCCATGGGAATTATGGAAAAGAGAAAATATATTTTATAATAATGTAAACAGTTGTGAAAAGGGATTTCTTCAAGGGAGCTGGGAAATATAAATAAGCAACATTACTGATTAAGTAATCAAATGTTATAAACCCACCATCTCAACAAGGTATCCTGGAGTGACAGTGACTTAGCTACATTTGTGGCCTTATCACAGTTGAAGACACAATAAAAGTATTTACTTTCTAAAATATGCCCTACTGAGAAGCGAAGAATTGGGGAGGAAAATTTATTCTTAGTTGAGTAGTGGCAAAGGAGGTAAAAAAGTTGTTGTCTCATTTATATTAGTCGAATATGCAAGGTTATGGGAGGTGGAAGCAGTGTCGGGGCTCCTTTGGTGTGGCAATATTAGATATATATGGGCTAAACCACTTGAATTCTACAATATTTTCACCTCGATTCGGTGACATGATAGCTTGCCTCAGTAACCCAATGATGGGCGAATAATGATTACATTAATGCTGCACCACTAAACATTTAAAATCTTACACCAGGTTCTTGTTTATTCGTACTCAAAACGGTGGGACATCTACCAGTGATTACCAGAAATGTTCCAACTTCCTAAAAGTTCTGCACAGTATTTCAAACTCGTTTGCCCTTTTCGCAAAAGGAATACTCACACAACAACTGAATTACGGACGAGATTGCAATCCCATCCATTTTGAAATTTAAAAATGGGTTCATGCTTTAATATTTGCTCTGGTCTGCAATACAGGCTGTCAGTCATAAATTGGAGTGCACTGCAATGATGTAATCAATGCCTCCACTCATAAGTCACCGACATCCAATCAGTTGTCCCGTACTGCCAACTGGCAATTCCACACATCCGACAGTGAGCTTCCTTATGGAAACCTTAATTTATCATAATGTCCAAAATGAACAGAACTGAAATCACTTCTTTTCCCTGGGAACCTACAACCTTGTTAGCACTGTTAACTTATACAATACAAATTGTAAGGGACGTTCAGGTTTACTAAGCCAATGCAAACAGTTCATAGCATCCATAAGGGCAGGACCAACTCCTACAGCAATTATTTCTAAAAGGCTGAAATCTCAAAAGAAGTGTTAGTTTAATGAAAAGACTATGTAAAACAATCTACATTAAAATGTTCTGCTGTCAAGATTCCTCATTGAATATTATTTAAGGGAAAAGTACAATACTTAAAGCATGGAGGATCAAATTCTGTGACTTTTTTTAATTCATTCACTGGCCAGGCAGTATTTATTGCCCGTCCCTAATTTCCCAGAGGGCAGCTAAGAGTCAACCACATTGCTGTGGTTCTGGAGTCACAAGTAGGCCAGACCTGGTAAGGATGGCAGTTTCCTTCCCTAAAAGACATTAGTGAACCAGAGGGGTATTTCCAACAATTGACAGTGGATTCATGGCCATCTTTAGACTCTTAATTCCAGATATTTTATTGAATTCGAATTCCACCATCTGCCATGGTGGGATTTGAACCTGGGTCCCCAGAACATTATCAGGGTCTCTGCATTAACAGTCCAGTGATAATACCACTCGGCCATCGCCTCCCCACGATTGTTCATACCCATTGTCATTCTACATTTATTTGGACAAGGAGCCATCATGGCAGTGATCTGAAAACATTGGGGCAGGACCTAGTTCAAAAATAACACCACATGAATGATGCACAACGATACTAATATGCAAGTTGTCAGTCACTTACATGTCATGCACAAGTATGCAATATGGCAATGGTTCACCGTAGAAATATAGATTCATTGCAGAACAGAAACAGTCTATTCAGCCAATTGTATCTGTGCTGTTTCTAGAAAGGAGCGGTTCATCTAGTACCACTCCCTTGCCTTTTCCACAAACCCTTCAAATTTATCCTTTTCAAATAATCATTCCAGTGTACAACACAGCAATATATCCAACACAAGAACTTTATTGAAGTATGTGTTAGAGGTTGCATGATTCTGGCAGACTAGAACAAATATTGTGAGTAACTCACCTCCTGAAACCCCAGAGCCTGCCCACCATCTACAGGGGACAACTCAGGAGTGTGATGGAATACTCCCACTTGCCTGGATGGGTGCAGCTCCAACAACACTCAAGAAGCTTGACACCAGCCAAGACAAATGAGTCAGTTTAATTAACACCAAATCCATAAACATTAATTCCGACGACCATCGACGCTCAGTAGCAACAGTGTGCACTATCACAAGATACACTATAGGATTTCACCAAGATGCTGTAAATGGCACCATCCAAACACATGACTATTTCCATCCAAACGAAAAAGACAGCAAATACATGGGAACACAACCACCTCCAACTCACTCGCAGTCCTGGCTGTTCCTTTAGCGTCATTGAGTGAAAGTCTTGGAACTCCCTCTCTACTGGCATTGCATGTGTACTTACACCAAAGGAACTATATCAGTTCAAGAAAGCAGCTCAGCACCACCTTCTCAAGGGCAATTAGGAGTGAGCAATAAATGTTGGCCCAGCCAGCAATGCCCACATTTCATGACTGAATAAAGAAAAAGTATTTCAATCCAGCTATCCCCCTTTTTATTCATGTGTGGCTTTATTCACCCAAGTTACCAAACATATATGCCTCATGCCTTAGTAGTTTGTTACTTCCATCAGTCTCAGTGTACAAATTGCACACACAATCTTTAAAGCATGCGCGCATGTTGCTGTCATTAGCTGTTCATTTGGGTCATGTTGTTTCAGCGAGGAATAGTGTTTCTGTCTCGTTTGTTGTTGCAGTGGTCGTGGTTGGGTTGCTATGAACCTCTGGGCCTGATATTGATGCACAGCTGGCACATTCGCCTCTTTCGTATCAGCATTTGACATTTGAAGACAAGCATGTGACCTCGGTTGTGATGATAAGTCTGGCTGTTTGCGTCCACAGTCTATGATCAAGATGACAACTGCTCCACACAGCTCCTAAGTTGCCATTCGATCTGGCTTTTGTTGAAATTGTTGAATGTTTGCACTCTTATTAGCTCTCCAGTATCAACTCTAGCA